TTTAAAGATCTGCTTTGAGGTAGTTGAATGAATCAAGAACCCCACCCCAAACAAATGGTCCTTGGCTTAGGACCATTCATTCAGGAAAATGTTTGAAGGCACAGCAATGCTTGAAAAAATAGACATAGGACCAGTCCTCAAAGTTCTAGACATCATAGCATTCCTGAGGTTATGTGACTGTAATCCAGGTGCTGGTGTGCCTGGCTCGCAATTACAGTGTTGCAGATAGCCATGGTCATGTGATCACCAATTGCAACCTTCCCTGCTCCCTTCTCACAATCAAATTCAATGGGGAAGCTGACAGGGAAAGTTGCAAGTCACCCCAATAAGTTACTCCCGTTTTTATTTCTGCTGGCTCTTTCCTGGCCTCCTGTGATTCTCACGCATGACTTGTGCCAGCCTTCCCAGGCCCTCTCCTGGCCTCCTGTGGCTTCTGTATAGCCTGCCCCAGCCCTCTCAGACACTCCCCTGGCCTCTCCCCACCACTGATATCCCTGCATCACCCCCAAGTTCCATACCTGTAACTTTCACCCCTTTCCACTTAAAAAGTCTTGAGTTATGACGCCAACCAGGACAGCCTGGGATTGCTGTCACTAAGTGATGTGGTCATGTGATGTTGCCCTTTACAACTGCATTGATTAGTGATGGCAATCCTGGTCCCAATTACTGTTATAACTCAAGGACTACATGTACAGCATTTTTGCATCCATATTTTAATGTTTATTGACCCTTCTTTGCCTAGTGTGATCCTTGGGCCCACCTGCATGTAGCACTGTTTCCAGTAAGGTGAGGGTCAGCCCTTATTGAATTCATTTAATTCTAAAAGAGTCCACAAGTGAAATAAGTTGGAAAGTATATTGTGTTTTGAATCATGGAAGAGGAGATTGCTTAGAAAACTAATATGTTCCTTTGGAATTAGGGATGACAGAGTTTATCTATCAGGATCAGACATAAATAGACAAATGCCTGATAACATATTATCTGAAAACTGCATTTGTTTTGCTTTTTTAGGACTTGCCAAACAGGTTGGGCATAAGACCAAAGTATATGAGGAAGCTATGACTTTACCTTTTCAGTAAATCTTGAAATTAGGCTAACTGCCAGTGAGAATTAGTGCACACTGGTAGGTTGAATTATTTTAGACCAACATAAATAAGGAGGGAAACATTATGAAATAATGATAAAAATGACTATATCACTGATGGATAGGTTTAATTATCTAGACATCTGTTGAGTATCAAGTACAGAAAAAAAACATGAATCACCAGGAGTTCCTTGTGCTAAACAAGAGTAATTTAATGACGCAAAAAATAGGAAGACAAGCTAAAAGAAATATTACTCAGGCTCTTGTACCATGTTGACAAGGAGGAAATGACCAAGAATGTGACTATAATGGAGATGGTTTGAAAAGCCATCTAACAATTACATGAATTTATAATTTAATTACTAGCATGTGAAAATACTTTTGCAATAATTCTAGACAATTACATTTAAATTTCTTATCAGTATTCTGCCCTGGAGACCATGCCAGGAGGGTGTATTTAATCCTCTTCTGAAAACCTGAATAAGTTTTATTAAATCTTACTTAAGAACATACCTATCATACTCTGGCCTCGTATATTGACTTTNTTTTATCCTAGTTTTAATCCTTACTTCAAGGGAGGTGATGGATTTCTTTTACCTCGCTGGAATATTTTTAGAGGCATATATATTGCTAACATTGAAATTAAAAGTTCTACAGATTATTTCATAACTGTGCAATTATGTAAGAAGTAATCCAGAGTTAAGCATTATTTTTTTTTTAAAAATCCAATGTTTTGGGTTTGCACAATATGTTGTGCAGTGCTCCTAAACCATGATTAAGTTCACACATTTACCTACATTAAAATGTGGTTAGTTAGTTTATGGTTCAGTGTAGCTGATGATTGTTAACATTTTTTAAATGTTATAGTTGTTCTGAGTGGTTTACAAAACTGCATATGTAATATATAAAATTCTGTAATCACTTATAATTCTAGAGTAGCCTCTAGACAAGATGAGCAGCACACATATCTAGTAAATAAATAATAATACAACATTGAAATGGTGGTGTCCTTGGTACTTGTTGAGCTTGATAGTTTTCTTGCAGACATTTCTGCAAGAAATAACATCATCAGTGCACTAAAACTTAAAAATCATAATAGCAAACTAGATCAACGTGACAGAAATTTTTAGATTAAATTGATCATTGCAATTTAAAACCTTTTTGAAATATTGTTAGTTTTGTGCCAATTTTGGCATTCCAACATTTTTTCAATGTATGGTTATACATAGTGCATTTCTCAACTGCAGAATATAATGATGACAAGTGTCATATAGGAAATTATATTTAGCTGTTCGATAGTGTCATTGAATGTTAACAAGATTTTGAGTTGTTTTCTGTGTGATTAGAGGGGAAAGAAGAAATGCATCCCTGTTGCCATAGAAACTAGGCCATTATTTCTTGCTTTGCCATCCTGTACTGGTAGCTTCATTGCTGGGAGCAAGACTTTTTTTGGGATTCAGTTCTAGTTGTTGACCACTTGCAATAGAATGAAGAAGTGTCTTCGTGTTTGGATATGCAAACCCATGAGCAGCAGTGCAATGTAAATAGATAATTTTCCCTTTGAACAGGTAACTATATTCCCCCTTTATCTGAATCAAATATGATTATTTGTGTGTAGTAAGACAGTGTAATATAATAACTATGTCTAAAAAAGGTTATATGAAAATATGAGTATGTATGTGCACATGAGGCTGCTGTGTGAGCTTATTCATTGCCATGAGGTGAAGTATCATCAGTACGTTGATGATGCCCAACTATGCATGTTGGCCCCTGTAAATTAAGCAATACTGTGAATGTCTTATCCAGGTATCTGGAGGTTCTGAGTATCTGGATGGAAAGAACATGCTTAAGCTGAATTCTGGTAAAACTAAGTGGCTCTGGGATGAGGACCATACTGATTCCAAGACTGTGCCATCTTTGGTGCTGGATGCCCCAGACAGATTCAGTGAGCAATCATGACTCCTGCTTGAGGAACAGGTGGCTGTCATGCCCAGGAAGATTTTTGCACAGCTTCAGCTCATGCCTCAGTCACCTCCAGATTGGAACAATTGTGACTACTGCATGGGACAGTTGTTGAAGAGTATTCAGAAACTTCAGCCAGTGCAGAATGCAGTATGCAGACAGTTATTTATGTGTGCTGCTCGGACAGCATATATAAACTTCTGCTCTGCGATTTGCATTGGTTGCCAGTTTGTTTTTGGGTCCAATTCAAGGAGCACTTTTTCACTTGTAAAGACCTTCATGGCACAGAACTGGGTTGGGACCGCCTCTCCCCAATTATATTAGCCCATTCCATTAGGCAGAAAGGGCCTGCTGCGGATATCATCAGCCAGGAATCGGTCCCAGGCAATAGGCCTTCTGTCCTGTGGTACCTGCCTTATGGAACATCCCTCCTCCACCAACATTAGATTAGCTCTATCTCTTTTGATGTTCTGGAAGTCCCTCAAGACCTGGTTATACCATCAGGACTGGAGGTCCTAGGGAACTAGAGACTTATTTAGATGGTTCCACTATTGAGGTTGATGTACTTATTTTTCTGTTTGGGCCTTGTATATAATTTTACTTTTAATCATCTCCATTTCTAATGCTGCTTTTTCTAATTTAAATGTTATTTTTATGCATGTATTGTTTTTTCTTGATCATTGTACACTCCCCAGAGTCACTTCTCATGATATGGGCAGCTATGAATTAGATAGATAGATAGATAGATAGATAGATAGATAGATAGATAGATAGATAGATAGATAGATAGATAGATAGATAGATAGATGGATGGATGGATGGATGGATGGATGGATGGATGGATGGATGGATGGATGGATGGACGGACCTACCTATGTTCAGCTATATTAGGCAAATACGATTCCCATCAATGTATAACTAACACAATGAGATAGTTAAATAAAGGGGAATATATTAATGATATTCAGAAAGAGAGAACAGCCTCATGTTTCAGTTCAGTACTGGATATTTATGATGGTTGTACTGGAGTAAATCAAGATACTTTTCATTCTTGCTATCCATTTCAGAATTTTACTAATATGTATTTGAAGTGTTAAAGAAATGTGACGTATATATTTAAATAATTTTCTGAAAAGGGTAGCTTGGGGAAACTTCCCAAATTATGAGCAATCTTCTTTGCTTTGTCTCTCAGATGTTTTACTGCTTAATTTTGTCTATTCTGTTATAAAACAGTATTCCCATACTAAGCAATTAAGGAACTATCTGCTTTATGTGAATCCACGATAATTAAAAGCTGGCAACAATACTGAAATGGAATGTTTATCTTCAGTCTTTTTCATACAGCTTCTTTTCATAACCTGTGTTTTTTTCACTTTTACAACACAGTTATCACTTCCCTTTCCTTCCAATTAAAACCCATGTAATTCTTATTAGTTCACACAGTGACAATTTTTTTATTTAAAGTGTGATGAAAAATATTAAACAATGGAAGCTTTATATCCTAAGACTATAATATCTGATTTAGAAAATATTTTCAGGTTGTAACCCATAAGAAAAAGTATATTGCTCTTTTAAAACTGCAGACTGTGATTCAACTGCTTAAAGGCTCCCAACAAGATGTTCTATTTCATCTGCATAGATGAACATCTACAGAGGTCTATAGGACTGGCTGTAAGTGTAGATACTAATCACTGGACCAGAATAGCAGTCTTCAGAATCTACATATTTATTCCAGTGTGCATAAACCATTCTTACAAGCTTTCATTTCTTCAGCCATTATTTATATGGCTTTTTCATATATATATTTTCAATTGCTTTTTATTCTTTTGAAGCAGCTGGCGTGGTAGCCAATAAAATATACTCTGAATTCACCCTGATGAAACTAAGTTAACTAACAATAATGGAGGGTTTCAGAACCATGGCTTCATAATATAATTTTGGAATTCTCCTACAGGCTACGTTTGAACTGGTCACTTCAGAAGCCTCATACTACAAAAGTTTGAATTTATTGATATGTCATTTCATGGAAAATGATCGACTGAAAAAGATTTTGCATCCTTCAGAGGCTCACATCCTCTTCTCCAATGTCCTGGATGTCATAGCAGTCAGTGAACGGTAAATCCTTAAATGATTGTTATGAGTAGAAAAGAAACCTCCTCATCTTTTCCCTGAAAGGGACAGATAGTGATTATTAATAACAGTAGTAAAATGTACAGTATTGTTCAAAATTGCTTCTCTGAAATGGTAAGGTTGCTAAATCCTATATCTTTTGCATCAGAAGCAGCCACATTAGAAAACTGCGTCAGACAAGTCCAATTTCTTCCTGCTGTAGGAAAGTGGACTTAGTAGGTTGAGGGAATTATGGATGGCACCATGATGGTTGATATCTCACTGCTGATTTTCACAGTCCTGTTCTTTTTTGGACTCCTCCTGCAGAGGGGGCAATGTATTTAAGAACAGACCTGTTAATCCCATATATTATCTCTAGAATTAAAGACTGTGTCTTTTTAATTGAACATTATGGAAAAACAGTGTTGGGTTGGACATGTTTCTCATTTGTCAAGAGTTAGATTCATATGATATAAATAATTCCAGAGTGGCAATGTTTCAGAGTGAACTCAAACTAGAAAAAGCTGTAAATATTCTGGCTTTCTTTCTATGTATTTATCAGATTTTTACTGCAGTTGTTATGTGAATATCAGTCATGATATTTATTCCTGCACCTATACATCTCATAGGATTATATACTCCTCATTATACAGCTACATCTCTCCCTGGGAATCAGAAGTCTAGCCACTGGTATGTGGTCATGTATACATGCTATTTTCCCTATCCATGAAATGAGGGCAAAAAAATTTAATTTACAGAGAACAGTGCCAAGAATTGGTTATTAATTAAAAAAATAAAACCAAGAATCTTTCACTAAATTCTTGGTCACATTATTTTTCCACAATCTGTCTAGGCTCTAGGGTTTAGTTTGTCTCAGCTTAAAAATTGTACCATCGGTATATTTTGCTCACATTTTTTAATAAATTACTTAAACTTATTTATCAGATAAAGTGAAAATGACTAGACAGTCATGTTTTAGTTTACACTGGATAATTTTTTTAAAAAATAATGAACTTTCAAATATAATACTCACATGGCTCAAATGTAGTATAAAACAAAGAAAGAGAGATCGCCTTCAGCAGTGCAAATAAAAGTCTATATTTTACAACTTTCCATGCTTCTTCTTGCTGGAAAGAATTGAAGCAAAATACAAACTGAAGGTTCTGTTGCAATCCTTGCTTTCCCTCTTTGTTGACTTTGTTTTTTATATTTATTTGAATGATTAATTCTTGATTTCTCATTTAGATTTCTCTTAGATCTTGAGAAACGAGTGGAAGAGAACATTGTAATCTCTGATGTCTGTGACATTGTCCATCAGCATACTATTAGCCACTTCTCAGTATATGTCACTTACGTGTCCAACCAAACCTACCAGGAAAGAGCTTATAAGCAACTTCTGTGAGTGTAATTTCTCCAGCATGGCTTTGCTAATGAAACAATTTAATTCCAGCACAGCAACTGGATAACTTTCAGGATTTTAATAGATAGCTCACAGGGGAAACTTATTTTCCCCAGGTTTTATGAATTCATGTCTTTGTTCTACATATAATTAAATGCTTACCCTGTAATTCATTTCATACCAGAATAAAAGACAAAAAGATACGTACCTGGTCCAAAAGAGGGATGTTACCATTGGGCGTTGTTCTGTCCCTCAGTCTGCATGACATAATTTTTATAACAGATAATTAAAGGCGTTCGGGGTGTGTGTGTGTGTGTGTGTGTGTGTGTGTGTGCATCTCCTTGCCCTCCTTTAATCTTGGCAGCATACCTTTTCTTCATACCTTTTGATGGAAGGACAGAATCTCTTTTAAGCAGTGAGCCCATGAAACTATGAGATCCTTTTTGTTGTGAGCCTTTTTGTGACTGATAACACATCTGATTTTACTAGCTTAATGAAGAATGATTCAGAAAATTGGAACAGACCATAAATATTGCAGAGAACTCTAATCTTTTAGAAAAAAAAATCTTCATTACATTAAGAAGTGAACTAACTAACTCATCTGGATCCCACCAGGCCCAGGATTCACTTGAGCCAGAGGTCAGAGTTTGCCTCAACTGTCTTCCAATGATGATGTTGCAGCATGTTTGAACCTATAAAGCAGAAATGCTCAATCAAAAATCTCTGATAGCCTGGGATGCAGCTTTCAGAGATGTCCAAATTGTTATCAAACTGTAATTTTAAATGTGAATGAAGAAGGAAATAAGTAAATATATGACTGAGGAATAAATGCTTATCTGTATTTAGTTTTACTTACATTTAAATATGAATTAAATTAAATGTAGTTTTTCTCCTAGTCCACCTGCTAGTTTTTGGATTCTGGTATACCATTCAAAGGCCAAGCACAACCCTAACCGGAAAGAGCTGTTTGGCACTTTGGCCTTAAACCAATAATTTAGATTTATTTTTTTTATTCCAGAGGCTTCCCTCTATTGTAGTTCATTATGAACACAAAGTTCTCTTACAAGGCTGCCTTTTCTTGGCTGTGAGGAATCCAATAACATAAGCTTCCTTGCAACATAAACAAAAATTGTGAGCTGCTTTTCTGTACTACTGAATGGCAGTAGCCATATTACTGACAGACTGTGCTTGTCAGCTTGAGCTTCCCATCTGGGTCAGGTGAATTCTTCACCTCAATATTTCCAGCAAGGTTTCCCTTGGTCAGAAAGGGACCTTATATTATATATTCTATTTCCTTTATAGAAAGCTGCTTTCTATGTCTATATGCACTTCACCATACCACAATAATCTGACTGTGTAAAAATGTATAATTAAGTCTCTGACTCAACTGCTTGGACACACACTCCATTCACATACACCCCCACACAAAGCATAGGCAGCTAAGTCTGTATATGTTACACAAGGGAAGCTATTACTCTTGCTTGCACATAAAAAGTCTATTTTTCCAATCCCCAATGCTATAAATAGACTCAACCATAAACCAACATTCAGGGTGCTAATATTTTGCACCACAATTTTCAAAACAAGACCCAAGGACCAAAGGCCAGGAGTATTGAGAAAGGTAGTGTCATGGATTAAAAGAATAACACAGAGCATATCAGTTACTCCTACAGATTTAAAACAAAAGGAAATAACAAATACATCTCTTAATCTGTCTGTTTTGTCAGCCAAGACAAGCCAGCTTTCCGGGAGGTGATCTTACAATTGGAACTGGATCCAAAATGCAAAGGCCTGCCTTTCTCATCTTTCTTGATTTTGCCTTTTCAAAGAATCACTAGGCTGAAGCTGCTGGTACAGGTACAACAAATTTATATTTTTCTTTTCATTCTTATTTGGGTGTCAGCTGTGAAGGAGATGACAACGTTCAAATGGGAAATGAAAAGCCAATAAGGAACATTTACGGGTATTAGGCTGAATAGAAGATCTGTAAAGTCTCTTTTTAGTGTTGATATAGATGGTACTACTAAATTAGCACCATCCTCTTATACGTGTATTCATGTAGAACTGTTCAACAATAATATCAACTTACCAATACCTACAATATATTCATATATACAGATTTGGTATTGGAATACATAGAGAAAATCCCTATTAAAAATATCATACTGTATTATCATACTTGCTGTATTATAAAGCAAGTTAATAATATTTTTCCTGCTCTTTGTGCAGAATATCCTGAAGAAAGTGGAAGAAAAATCTGAACGTGAAATCACTGCTCTTGAGGCTCACAAGGAACTGGAAATAGTAAGCTTATTTAGATTTTTCACTTTCTCTTTTAGGCCAATGCAGTTTTAATGAACTGAAAGCCAGGAAAATGACTGATACAATATTTTTGTATAAAATTCACTTCCTTTAGACACTTCCAAACAAGTGTCTAAGTAGGGGTTGATAATTTGACACATCTGTATCTTTACAGAAAATATGTTTTCTGAGGAAAATGGATTCAGACTTTTGGATCCCAACCTTTGGTCAGACATTTGAAGGTGATAAATATCCATGGAGAGTAGTTAATTTAATTAGCTGTCACCATTCAAAGACTGTTAATAGGTCAGATTTGCATCTAGAAGTGCAGAATTACTTTTATGATCCCAAAATTGTTGAGTCATGGCATATATTTTTAAAAGTGTTTCATTTCATTTGAACTCCATTTTAGGAATCCCCTGAGCATGTGTCCTTTCTGTCTAAAGGCATATTTCTGGGCTAGGCCAAATTACAAATTTTACTCTTAAACTGAAGCAGTGTCTGATAAGAAGTGAAATATGAAGGTATCTAGCCTCCCTTGGCCATGCAGGATGATAACTCTGTCTCCGGTCTAGTCCATCCATGTTAAGACCAAAGGTATATGTATGGCCTACATATATAGGGAGCCAATTTGGTCATGTGGTGAAAGTGCTGTCCTAGAAACTAGGAGAACTTGAATTCCAGTCCTGCCTTAGACATGAAAGCCAGCGAGGTTACTTTGAGCCAGTCACAAATTTTCAGCCCAATCCACCTAACAAGGTGGAGGTTGTGGGAAAAATAGGAAGAAGAGTACAGTAGTAGTAGTAGTAGTAGTAGTAGTAGTAGTAGTAGTAACAAAAAAAACAACAGCAACAATAACAACAACTACAGTAACAACAACAATAAAGTTGGAAGGTACCTTGGAGGTCATCTAGTCCAACCTCCTGTTCAGACAGGAAACCCTTTACCATTTCAGACAAATGGCTGTGCAGTCTTTTCTTAAAAACTTCCAGTGTTGGAGCATTCACAGCTTCTGGAGACAAGTTGTTCCACTGATTAATTGTTCTATCTGTCAGGAAATTTCTCCTTAGTTCTAGGTTGCATCTCTCTTTGGTTAGTTTCTATCTGTTGCTTCTTGTCCTGCCGTCAGGTGCTTTGGAGAATAGCTTGACTGCCTCTTCTTTGTGGCAGCCCCTGAGATATTGGAACTCTGCTATCATGTCCCCCCTCGTCCTTCTCTTCATTAAACTAGACATACCCAATTCCAGCAACCGTTCCTTATTGTTTTAGCCTCCAGTCCCCTAATCATCTTTGTTGCTCTTCTCTGTACTCTTTCTGTACATTTGCTCTGTACATTTGCTGCCTTGAGTTTCTTATAAAGTAATAAAGGTGGGATAAAAATCTAGCAACAAGTACAAATAAATAAAAAGCTAAACACTTATTTCTATCTAAAACATGTTATAAGCTACTGTGTGATTTTTACCATACACAAAAGCCAATTATGACCTTACCTGGAGTGGGAGTACCTTATGACAGTGACTCATGTGCTTATCACCATTCGATTGAAATGCTGCAATTTACTCTACATGAGCTGCTTTCAGAAACCATTTGGAAACTGCTTGGTTCAAAACCCAGCAATCCATGCATTAGCTAAAATGCTAGGACCACATTCCCCTTATGCTGCTGGCATTACTTTGATTGTCAATAAATTCCACAGTACAATTAAATAACTGGCTTTGACTTATAGAACTCTATATTGTATCACTTGGTATCTCCAGAATTGCCTTTTTTTAATTAGAAGTAACCTAGTTAAACCCCCATTACAAGAGGATCAGTCTTGAGAGCATTATAAAAGCAAGTTAAAATGAAGCTCTTTTGATTAGTTGGATACATCATGTATTTTTTATAACTGTGCATTCTCTATTTCAAATTTGGTTGAATTATTTTATATTTTGTTTACATTGGATGTACGCATATACTAATGCATACAACTGACAGTTGTATGATTGGGTCACTATAAAAACTGAATATTTATTTAACAAGTTTATCTGGCCGCCCAATTCGCATATTCTGGCTTTGGCATGGTTTAATAATGAGAAGTGAATTGCAATTTGACAGAATCCCAGTATGTTGAACAGTTCATAACATATTGGCAAGTACATAGCAAAAGTTATGTAGCAAGTAGAAATATATCTTTGAAACCATTCAAAAATGATTTTTTGATTAGCCCTCAATATCTCTGGGGCCAGGATATTAATAGCATATTAGAATATACACTAAGTCTTACAGCCAAATATTTTAGTGCAATTTGCCCATCCTGTTTGAATGAAACATTAAATTTTAAAGGCATTATAGCTTTTTATATGTCTTTGCCCAAACATTAAAGACATATAGTCAGAGAATATTCTTAAATGTGTCCATTTACACATTGAAAAAGAGTGAACCAATCTAGATTAGAAGATTTCTTAAATAAAAATATCAAAAATGAACAAAAGAAAAACAAAGCTTCCCTTGAATTGAGCTTAACTTCTGGTGACTCATGAACATATCTATGGTATTTGTTTAGCAATAATATGGAAGAGATTTGCTATTGCCTTCTGCCAGTGAATGAAATTATGACAACAGGAAGAATTTGAGTGACAGGAAGTCTTTAGAAGATCTTAGGGAATTTCGATATCACTCCACACCTGCATGTTGAATAGGCTGGCAGATGCACCTACAATTATAGTTAAGGCAAGTAGACAAGGACTTGCCTAACCATAAGTTAATCTAAGTATTGCCCTACTTATATTGCCCTGTGTTGTTTGTTTATTGCTGTTATAAAGAGTTAGAATGCCACCTTCATTTTAACTGTCGTGTAAGCCCCAAAACAGGACCTTAGGACAAGAAATGCTATTTCTGAAATTTCCTTATCCTTCTCTTTTAGGTAGTGAAGGCATGTAATGAAGGAGTTAGAAAGATGAGTCGCACAGAACAGATGATCAGCATCCAAAAGAAATTGGAATTTAAGATCAAGGTATAAATACAAGCTGGTAAATCATGATGAGAAGACAATTGGCTTTTAAAGAACATGCAGAATTTTATGAAAGCAGGTTATCTGAAAAATAGGATTTGGGATTGTGGAGAAAAGTTTCTTTGCTTGATGAAGATAAACTGTGATCTGATGAATTTTGAGAAAAAATATGAATATGTGTTCTAATTTTGACTAAGCAGAACATTATTTAGACCTCCTTTTCTTGGCTTATGTTAACAGAAGGACTAGCTGGAGTGAAATGGCTGACATTTATACTGAATAATGAATTCAAAATTCAAATATGTCTTCTGCCATAAAAAGAAGTCCACTTCTTTTTATTTTTGATTTTGTTGTGAGGAAATATTGCAGAAAGTAATGCCGTTCATGCTGCCTTGAATTCCTGAAAGAATTAGAGAATATAAATCAAATAAATAGATTCAGAATGTATTTTGAGGAATTAAAAATCTTGTTACTTGTTCAGATCTATACTGCCATCCCTGCTAGTTAGCTACATCCCATATAATTTATATCCTATATCATTATTTCACATTTACAATGAACATCTTTAATAAAGGGTAATAGGAATAGTAGCAGGGTTAAAAACCTACACCACATTCCACCTCTTCAAAGAATGTAACTCAGGTTGCATCCATTCTAGGGTAGAGATGAGTATTAGTCCTTCAGTATCATTTTGTAACCATGAATAACACAGTCATGGTATTAAAATTTGGAAGCAACTGATTTTTAATACAAAACTCCAGATCACACTTTCAGCCCTTCTGATTATGTTATTATCCTGCTGTAATACCCTATTGTTGTTATGCGCCTGTTATATCTATGAATTTCTTCAAGGATCATAATACCCAAAAGATCCTAGCCCTTGTTTTAAGGGGGCAACTTTCCTTTCTTAGCAGTAAATTCTGATTAATTATGGTCTCTGTTTTCTTTCCATAATTAGTCTGTGCCCATCATATCTCATTCCCGCTGGCTGCTAAAGCAGGGAGAACTCCAGCAGATGAATGGCCCTAAAACATCCCGTACACTACGTACAAAGAAACTCTTTAGAGAAATCTACTTGTTCCTTTTCAACGACTTACTAGTACTATGCAGACAAATTAATGGGTAAGTCTGAATTAGACTAATTTAACAATTCTGAGAGAAATTAATCTTCATTAGCAGTTAATGTTTATTAATATATTGTTTATTTACAATAATATTGTACAATAATAATTACAACAATAATAATATTTTATAGCCTATCATCCAGGGGATCTCATGTTACTACAGCCCTAGCTGTAGGCATAAGTATTAGACAAATCTTTTTAGCTGTTGTTATTGTTTTAACCAAATTTGGCCTCTAGAATGATATCCCCCCTTGGAGATTGGGACTGCTCTTACTTTCCTGATTCTGTGCAAATGGTTAAAAACCTGATTGTTCTTCCAGGCTTTGGGTTATGATGGTGGTCAAGCCACTTTGTGTTTGGTAGGGGCTTCTTTGGTATCTTTTTTTTTCTTTTGTGTTATGGGGTTGATTGTTCTGGTGAATTGTGTTCCCTTTTCTTAGATATATTTTATTTTATTTTTTTATTGTTTTTATTGCCCACACTCATTATGCAATATCAGGTGGCTTTAGAATTGAAACATTAAATTAAATTTAAAATAAATCCATAAATGTCTATGGAGAGTCTCAGTCATCTAGTTGTCCCACAGAGGCTTTTCCTCGAGGCAATAGGACTTTCTTGTTTTTCTTACATTCCCTACCGTCCAGTCAGAGCTAAAGAAGCTTCTTGGATGAGAAGCGAAACGTCTTCAAAGAAAAACAAGAAAGTCCATTTGCCTCGTGAAAAAGCATCTTTGAGATGAATATGTTTAAAATTTTGGATTTTTTAAATTAAGAATTGTTACCGTTCATTTCCTAAATTGTGTGGCAAAGTGTCCTTAAGAAATGGAGATTTGAAACCAAGAAAGATTGGTTAACCCTCTCCTGTTGGTCCTGTTATTTCTAAATCCCACTTCTCAAGGCAAAATGGAAGTGATGGATTTCTCTTATCTCCTACTCAAAATTGTTAGTGAATTTTCACATCAGTTATGTAGTTTTAGAACTTAATATAAAGAAAGGAGGGATACTAAACAATGGGAATTTTTTACAGTATTACTTTCTTGCTCATTAAATACCTGCCTTAAGCATAAAAGCCAGCTGGGTGACTCTGGCCTAGTCATTCTTTCTCAGCCTCATAGGGTTGTGGTGAGTTTCTAGGAGGGAGAAAGAAAAAGATTGATATAATCTTATCTCACTGATTGTGTATATATATATCAATAGTCTTTCTTGATGAACAATCAAATGGTCCTTATTACTGTTCTCATCTGAGCCTTTTGCAGTTGGGTTTCTTACTCTATTTTTCATTCTTCTGGTCTCATGCTTTCTCTCTTTCCTTTAATAAAATACTGTAATATTTTGTTTCTATAAAACAATGTTACAAATATATTAATCACTTTTGAAATTTATATATTGCTTCTTGCTAATTTTATTTCTCTTTATGTAAATGATTTTAAACAATATGTTGTTACCAACACATGTCTTATGTCTTTTGTTCTTGTAAACAGTATTCTTTTCACCAGTCCTGGTTTAGTCTTTGTTTGTGTGCATGTATGGATGTTAATGTATAAAATAGTGTCATTTGAGTATCATTGGAGATGCTGAAAATGAGCCAGGGATTGAAAATAGAGTAGAGGTAGTCTTCTACTTAAAACTGGTTACTTAGCAACTATTCGAAGTTACGACAGACTGCTTATGACCCTGTTTCAAAGTTACAGCCTCTGCAGTGTCTCTGCAGTCATTCCGCTTCATGACCAATTGCAAAAACGCTGCAACACCTCCTGTACACCCAGCCTATAATAATAATAATAACCATTTATTTGCTTCAGTGACAAGTACCAAGTATTTGATTCTGCTTCTCGAGGCCTTCTTCGAGTGGAAGAGTTGGAGGACCAAGGGCAGAGCTTGGCCAATGTATTTATTCTGAGGCTGCTAGAAAATGCAGATGACCGTGAAGTCAGCTATATGTTGAAGGCGTTATCCCAGTAAGTACAACAAGTACAACAAGTGATACTGAGTCGATACTGAGTCGATACTTAGCCGCCCTGAGTCCGTAAGGAGAAGGGCGGGATATAAATTAAATTAATAATAATAATAATAATAATACGCATGCAAGTGTGTGGATTCTGTGAGTGAACCCATTCATTTTGTTCCAGCTTAATGGATTATATGGACTTCTAGCTTTTCCAGGCTAATCAGTGAGCAAGCGGCTTGTATGCAAACTCATCCATATTCCATTTTTTCATTTGCGTGCGTGCATTCACAGAAATCGGTTCAGAAATTGCTCTGTGGATAAATCTTAGCAGAAACTACCTTGTAATTTATTTTTATCACTAAAATTAGCTCCCCTTCATGTAATTGCCTGTTTTACAACCATTATTAGGCATAGAAAATTTTAGTCTCTAATTCTTGGGCAGAACTAGAATGGTTTTGTTCCTCCCCCGCCCCTTGTTGCCCTCCAATAGTGAATTAAGGATAGGGTCATGATTTTTTTTTTCCATACTGAAATTAGAAAACCAAACCAAATTGTTTTCCCCCCCTTTTCTGGGAGCATTTCATTCTCATTCTTGAATACATGGTCCCAGAACATTCCTAAAATGAATATAAGATGTGCTAAGGAGCTGAATTCGTTTTCTCCTTTTGCTACAAAACTATTGTTTGAAGGTAAATTATTTTATGGCTATTCTGTTTTGCAAACAAAGCTAATCCCACTCATGATCTCTGAATTTCGCAAGAAGAGATTTTTTTGTGGTCACTCCTTTTTAAATTTGTTACTGCTTTTTGCTTATATATATAAACGAACATAAATGAATCATGTTTCTGAAAACATAATTAAGTTTTGACTATATGAAATAATATCGATCAGTGTTTCCACTGCATCAGTAGGTAATCTGAAAGTGAATACACATCATCAGTCATATGTTTGGACAGGGGATTGGACTAGAAGATCTCCAAACTCACTTCCAACCCTATGATTCACTATGTGTAATCAGTCACACTGAAAGGCATACTGTCCTTCCAGTGTTAAAGTGTCATCTTTTTTGCAACAGCCCTCCATGCTCGGTAATTCCATGTCTCCTTGGAAAGTGATATATGCTAAACTACATTCATATATTTAAGGGATGTTGATCATATAACCTTATTAACAAGTAATCAGTATTAAACCCAATGGGCAGTGGTGGCTGGCTCAGATTCTTTTATGTATTTTGTTGTTGTTGTTAATTGCGAAGTCATGTCCGACCCATCGCGAGCCCATGGACAACATTCCTCCAGGTCTTCCTGTCCTCTACCGTCTTCTGGAGTCCATTTAAGTTC